GTGGCAAACTCCCGCCTCCTTGGCCCCAATCTTGAAAAAGGCTGAGAGGAAATACTTTGTGCTGGCGAAGGACCATGAATACCTGTATTCACACCCGGCACCCAACTCGCTCGTCATGGAATTGATAAACCACAGAAAGCGCCAGGGCCAGCCTGCGCTCAGCCCAATAAACAAAGATGCCAGGAGACTGGACTCCTTTGACAGAAAATTTTATTCGTTGGCTAGCTTCCAGCTTCGAGTAACCAGCCACCAGGCCTTAATGAGCAGGTACGTCTTCAACCTGTGGGAGTCCCTGCCTAAATTTGAGCCCCTCCTCCTGGACCGGGACAGGAAGGACTTCAAGGCCCTGGTGGAAGAGGGGTTGTCGTCGGCAAAAGCAGCCCTGCAAGCGGCATCCCATGTGGCGGACACGGCGGCCCGCTCAATGGCTTCCGCGATCACCAGGCGCAGGGCATCGTGGCTCTTGTTGTCTGGACTGTCGACGGATGCACAATCACTGATGCAGGACCGCCTGTTCGATGGCAAGGCGCTCTTTGCGGACCAGACGGATGTCAGGCTGCATGGGATGAAGGATTCCTGCACCACCTTGCAGATCTTGGGCCTCTATGTCCCTCTGGCTAAGGACAAACCCAAATCGCTTCCGGCAGCTCAGGCTGCGAGGAACAGATATGATCCCCAGTACAAAAGGCCCAGAGACAAGAAGCGTCAGTCTCAGAGGCAGTCCCGCTCTGCCCTGCAGCCTGGTCCCTCTAAGGGCAAGAGGCAAAGGAAGAGGCGGTTTTGACTATCTGCAGGGGGGGCTGTTGCCAGGGAGACCCCCCAATTAATAAAGTTTGTGTTCTGCAACCGATTGTTTGCCTTCCTCAGGGCGTGGTCCCGCATAACTTCGGAGCAATGCGTCCTCAGTACTATCTCCAAGGGCTACGTTTTGCAGTTCACTTCACCTCCACCAAACAAGACTCCGTATGAGGCCCCTCCAATTATGGCTGGCCTCCCAGTTCTCCCAAGCTCGGGACTGTCTGGACAAGGTTCTCACGGTCCTGTCCCTGATATTTGCTTCCCTCTTATGGTGATCCTGCCCTAGCAATATGTTGCAAGGGATTCCCTTCAGGGAGGCCAACCCATCCATAGACCTGATGTCCGATGCTTCGAACCTGGGCTGGGGAGCCCACACGGGGGATGTGCAAACCCTGGGAACGTGGTCAGCCCCAGACTTGCCCCTTCACATAAATGTCAAGGAGCTCAGGGCGGTTCGGTTAGCATGCGTGGCGTTTCTCACGCACCTCCACAGCAAGGTGGTCAGAGTCCTCACAGACAACACCGCCGCCATGTACTATATCAACAGGCAAGGCGGGACTCGCTCCCTAGCCCTCTGCCGGGAAGCCCTGAACCTATGGGAGTTCTGTATAGCCCACAATATCTCCCTGAGGGCGGCTCACCTCTCGGGCGTCTGCAATACGCAAGCAGACCACCTCAGCAGGGTCTTCTTCTCCCAGTACGAGTGGTCGCTCCACTCGGAGGTCACTCACCGGCTCTTCTAAAAGTGGGGGGCTCCCCAGATCGACCTGTTTGCAACCTGTCAGAACCGGCGTTGCCCCCGGTTCTGCTCCGGGGAGGGGGAGGGGAAGGCGCGATCTCTGACGCTTTCCTCTTGAGCTGGTCAGGCCAGCTCCTGTATGCCTTTGCCCCGTTCACCCTCATCGCCAAGGTCCTTCAGAAAGTGAAAGCGGACAAGGCAAGAGTCATTCTCATAGCCCCGGCGTGAGCCCGCCAGCACTGGTATGGGCCCCTCTTACGCTCTTAGCAGCCCCCCCTAGGGCGCTGCCGCTCCGCCCGGACCTCCTGTCCCAGGATGGGGTGCGCCTTGTCCATCCCAATCTTGCCGCGCTTCACCTGACAGTGTGGCTGCTCCGTGGCTGAATGAGGAGAAGAATCGGTGTTTGGAGCAAGTAAGGTGAGTCCTCCTGGAAAGCAGGAAGCCGTCCACGCGACGGTCCAGGTTTGCCAGGTGGACGAGTGAGCGGGGAGTGTCCCCTTCCGCCGCACCTCTCCAGTTTATCCTGGACTACCTCTTATCCCTTAGGGCCCAGGGACTGGCACCTTCCTCAGTCAGGGTGCACCTGGCGGCCATATCGGCCTTTCACCCGCTGGTGCAAGGTCACTCGGTCTTCTCCCACTCGATGATCTCCCGTTTCCTGAAGGGCCTTGACCGTTTGTTCCCAGATGCTAGGCCCTCTGTGCTGCAATGGGACCTCAGCCTGGTCTTGTCCCGTCTCACGGGACCCCCCTTTGAACTTCTGGCCATGTGTTCCTGGTCGCACCTCTCGTGGAAGGTGGCCTTCCTAGTGGCGATCACGTCGGCCCGACATGTCTCAGAGCTCAGGGCCTTAACCTCAGAACCCCCCTATATGGTTTTCCATAGGGATAAAGTCCAGCTCCGCCCACACCCGACGTTCCTCCCGAAAGTGGTCTCCGCCTTCCATATGGAGCAGAGCATCTTCCTCCCTGTGCTCTGTCCTAAGCCCCACTCCTCTAACGAGGAATGCTGCCTCCAACTCTCGATGTGTGTAGGGCGTTGGCTTTTTATCTGGATCGGACTAAGCTGTTCCAGAAATCCTCTCAACTCTTTATTGCCTCGGGCTAAGGGGCAACCCATCTCCACCCAGAGGCTTTCCTGCTGGATCACCTCGTGCATACGCACGTGTTATGATTTGGCAGGGATTCCCCGCCACCGATTGTAAGGGCACACTCTACAAGAGCTCAGGCCTCATCAGCTGCCTACATTGCCCATGTCCCCATCCAGGACATTTGTAGGGCGGCCACGTGTGACTCAGTTCACACATTTACTTCACATTATGCGATCGTCCCCCAGTCCAGGGATGACACCGGGTTCGGCAGGGAGGTACTTCATCCTGAAACATCGTGAACTCCTACCCACCTCCAACAGATATTGCTTGGAATCACCTACTGTGGAATACACAGGAGCAATCACTCAAAGAAGAAAGAACAGTTACCTGTTCCGTAACTGGCGTTCTTCGAGATGTGTTGCTCCTGTCTATTCCACACCCCGCCCTCCTTCCCCTCTGTCGGAGTTGTCTGGCAAGAAGGAACCGAGGGTGGGGGGAGCCCATTGCTCCCCTTATAGCGCGATATACAGGCGCCACTCCAGGGGTTGCTGCGGTGCTCCCCCAGTACGGGTACTGCTAAGGGAAAATCTTCTGGCATCGGTGCACGTGGCGAGCACGCATACCTACTGTGGAATACACAGGAGCAACACATCTCGAAGAACGCCAGTTATGGAACAGGTAACTGTCCTTTTTGGACCAGGAACGCCTTATGCTGGGGGCTGTATAAACACAGAACAAAAGCAAAATAATCTTTCTGGTCTTGGGTGGAAAAACAATGCCACTGTCCTCTTCCACTTTTGTGTTTGATGCTCTGTAGTGATTGAGCAATGTTTTTCCTTGTTTCCCTCCTGCCTGCTCCAAGTGATCTTCCAGCCAGCATCAAATCAACGAGTAGAGCCAGAGAATAAAGAAGAAAGGCAGTTGAATCAGAGAACAAGCCTTTAGGGTTCGAAGGATCATATCTTTCCAATGCAGGGCAAGATCCTCAGCCGATGTAAATCGGCATAGATATGGTGACATCTACAGATGTCTATGGAGGGTCTGGCCTGTTATTACAATCAGGCAGGCCAACTCAAGGAGTTTCTACTAGGAGAGGGGCTTTAAACTATGGAATGCCTCTTTCCTGTCTGGTAGCTTGAATTTCTGAGATACCGTAAGGGTACATCTATACCCAGCCGCTAGTTTGGCGGCTGGCAATTGAACTTCTGGGTTCGACTTATCGCGTCTTGTCTGGACGCGATAAGTCGAACCCGGAAGTGCTCGCCGTCGACTGCGGTACTCCAGCTCGGCGAGAGGAGTACCGCGGAGTCGATGGGGGAGCCTGCCTGCCGCGTGTGGACCGAGGTAAGTTCGAACTAAGGTACTTCGAACTTCAGCTACGTTATTCACGTAGCTGAAGTTGCGTACCTTAGTTCGATTTGGGGGTTTAGTGTAGACCAAGCCTAAGTGAGTAGCTGGGTGTCTGTGTCATAGCTCTCTTTTCTAGCTGAGCTGGTGGTGGAGGCACACCCTTCATTTTAAGAGCTAGGAGTCCAACACCTTTATTGAAAACTGAATTGACCTAATTTTAAAATAAACCAATTAAAATACTTAGGAAGGATTAATAAATAACAGCTAGAAAAGGTTTCCTAAAATCTCACAATAATATTCCTGTCATTTATTTTCAAAAGCACCAAAGAGATTTAGGAGCATGAGTGCTATTGAAAGTCAATATGATTTTTGCTCCTAAATACTATAGGAAGATTTGAAAATTTCCCCCATGGGCATGCTACATTATTGTGCATGTAAAAGGCTTAGTTTGGAAATATAGCATGCAGAATTTAGACTAGGAAACAGATAACTTGGCCTACGCAGTTAAATTCAATTGTTAATTTCAGTGTTGCCAACGCTTGTGATTTTATCAAAAGTCTCATAATTTGGGGGGTTTCTTGGAGCTGCTGGAATCATGATGTTAACTGAAAATCTCTGCATTTTTTTTTTTAAGGAAAGTATGTAGGCCTGATGGCTTAAGAGGAAAGCTTGAAAACATGAACTCCAAAGTGTCTAACTCCAGAAGGCAAATACCCCCCCCCCACGTTATTATTTTTTAAATCTCATGATTTTTAAGCCAATATCATGAATCAAGTGTGTGTGTGTGGGATCTGCTTTGTGATTTTTGCATGATTGAAGTTGGTGATACTGTAAATTGACAGTGAGGACTGGCTCTCCTGTGCACTGAGACCCTTTTATACCTTTCTGGCAACATGCAGGGTGTTAGTGTAAGTAACATTCAGGTCCAAAATTTCATTGTGCTGATTAAACATTCAGGTCACAGTGCTGAAATGAGGCCCATTGTTGTCCTTGCAACTTAAGTTAATGCTATAATCGAGTTACCTTAATTTGGCTCTTGGTTCCATTAGAGTAGAAGTGCTGTACTGCACCAAACATTTCATCCCTTTCTGTGTTCTTCAGTGAAGTAGGAAGGTCTGTGCTTAAAACAAATAGATAATGGGCTGGATCATTCAAATGCTTATGCACATACATAGCTTTAGTCATAATGAAGTCAGTGGGACTATTTCCATACATAAGTATCTGCAGAATTTATAACTTCCAACCTCAGACTGCTACAAGCCTCCTTTCTAGTGGACAGATTCATAACAGGCTCCCCCTCCACGCCCCCCGGCCCCCAGTGATCTGCAGACTGTGAAGGAGCTGAAGGTATTATGATTAGACAGTAAATACATCATGAAGATTAAGCTGATAAATGGTCAGTTCTGGCCCATGATTGAAATTCAAGTAAACTGTCTGCACAAAAATGTGTAACACCATATATATAACAGATATTTATCTCTTTTCAGACCTTTCAGGGCTGTGCATGAGATGAAAGCAAGCAAATGGGTAATCAATTTTATTAGTGATTCCATATTTTTTACTCTGATAGGAATAATTTATAAGGAGGTAGTGCCTGGCTTTCCAGCATGCCATGCATGTATGCTATAAATAGTCATTGTGGTGTGTATTTCCCTATGCTAGATGGTGACAGCTTATAAGTGGGTACTCTAGGTAAGGGTATACAAGCAGCTATCCCTCCTCTCCTGCCCTGACATTCCATGTAAGGGCCTGCCCAACCACATCCTCGTGCTCAGGGTTGGCTCCTTCTGGTGGCACTGAGAGGTATATTTTACTTAAAATGGTCCCTGGGGAATATACTGCATATGCTGAAGCCATATAGTAGTGGGCACACTTCCCCTGTCCTATTCTATCAGGAATCTTCTTGAGGAATCATGTCTCCTTGAGGCGGAATGCCTGCTGGTGTCCCAATGGGCCGGAGCGAATGCACATCACTCCCAATATAAGGGTGTAATTCAATGGCACAGCTGAGTCCCCAGAGAGTTATTTACATATAGCCTTAAACAGGAATTGCTAAAATATAGAAATCAGTCGAAACAAGATCCAGAAATCTTTACTTCCTAATTTTGAAGACAAAATTTAGCAATTTTGATGGCACATTATTCAACAAAGTTATTAAATCAAAATGTGACTTGCCTTGACAGTGGACCCAGCTATAAGATATTACCTTTAGGAATTCAACCATCTACTTACTTTTCAGTTTGTTCATATCCCCTCTGGTAATTTAAAAAACAATATGTTAGGAGGCTGAGTACCAGCAAACAAACCTATGTGCTGACCTGCGCATGTGCTAATAATAAGTCAGAAGTCTGCTTCTTAAAAAATTTCTGGTTGCAGCAAACAGTGGTTGAAAAAATAAATACATGCTTGAATTCCTACAGGTAAGACCAGCCAGATGGGACCATTGGGGGACTGGTTAATGGGGTGGCTCAGTAGTCTTCACAGTGCTTCTTTAGGAGGAGCCCCTGTTGTTCAATCAAGCATTAGTCCTAGAAATATTTTCTAAAGGTGAAGTTCGCCACTGGACAAAGGGCCAGCAAATGGCCTATGTGTTAGGCTGAAGTGGGGCTTGATCTGTCATAGGCCTTCTGCTGGTGAAGTTCACCCTAACAGGATAGACAGATTCTTTTGACAAGTTTTCAAATAGCCTCCAAAGCTACACATGCATGTTTTGTGCATGCATCTCTGTGCACTTATAAAACCTGCAGTTTTGCAAATAGGTATTTGCATGTACAAATTAAGTGGCTAGCCATGCAGTTCTTTGATTTACACATGTTAATGGCTGGACATACATTATGTGTATGTTTCAAAAATATGGCCATGGATTTTACAAGAATGGATGGCTTTACTTTCCAACTTTGATTGTTATTATATTAATACAGGAATTAGCTCCATTTTTCCACAATACTAATCAGTTTGGGCTTTTCTGAAAGAGCTTTGTGCACATACAGAAATTACTTCCAATTAAGTTAATTTGAAATAAGAAATGAAATTGATGAGGCTTCACTTTTAGAACTGCAGGATTTTAACAAGGGGGGACCATTTTAGCTGCCCAAACTTAGACCATCTTAAGCGCTGCTCTAAATTGCTCTGGGAGGCCAGATTGTTCCCAAGAACAGGGAAACAGAAACATGGGCCACAGCCATTCCTCCCTCAAGTACTTGTCCTGAGTACACCTTGGCCAGACCCAGGAACAGGACCCACATTTCTTTTTTGATCTCTAACAATCTTGTCCAATTTTTTCCCAGAGCTCAAAGGGAGCCCTTCAGCCCACAAATTGACTCTAGCTGTATTCAAAACAGTACATAGTTGTGTGCCTTATTTTATTTTAAATGCTGTGGTTGGCTTGGTTTTAGGGCTGCAGTGCTTTGTGTTGGCATGTAGGAAATTCAGGTTTGAAAACAACCTCAGGGATTCCTATTTTCATGGCAAATAAAGACGGTGGAGATTATGCATTTTATGCTTTGCTGTAAGGAGGGGGGTAATAGAATATTTATTATTAATTATTATTATCACTTGCATGCAATAGTACCCAATCATGGAGCATGGCCCTATTGTTCTTGACACTGTACAAACCCATAACAAAAAGATGAGATCATTGCAATATCTCAGCTACTTGATTCTTATGAGCTGCCTCCTTTCCTGGCTGATGGACACTTTATAGAGTAGACAGCTCCATGGTCATCAATGGCTAGAAAGCACGTTAGAGTTTCACAGCAGGATATTTGTAAAAGGGAAAGGGATGGTGTATCAGGAATTAAAAGGTCTGTAAAACTAGAGTCTCTCCCTCCTAAAATGACCATCCCAAGTGAAGTCTATAGTCTGTGGTTCTCTGTCCTGAACACTGAGACCATACGTTCAAACCAGTGCATTTGGAGAAGAGCCAATATTGGCACAATATTCTGAATATTCTCAATGATTGTTCAGTTTGACCATGGTAATTATGCTTATCACTAGCTACTAACAAACTGTAATGCAAATGGGGCTTTGGCTGTGATCCAGCAAAGCTCTTAAACATGTGCTTAACTCCAAGCATGCTAGCAGTCCTTTTAAAATAAATAAGACTCTTCACAAGCTTAAAGTTAAGTGTGTGCTTAAGTGTTTTGTTAGATAAGGGCCTCGGTTATCATGAATATTTAGGAAAAGGCTGTTCTACACACATTATGGAATGAATAATAAAAGGTGTTCTTGAGTGAACAAAATCATTCATTGTTTGCTATTAGGGTTTTGTTATTTTTCATTCATTATTCTCCTGTTTAAATGTTTTTCTTGGAGCAGAAACAGTAGCAAGGGACTTTAGTAAACAATCATGCCCCAAAAGTATTAGGTAGGGAGAAGTGAATAAATGTGTAAACTTCCTAATAGACTTGTTTGCATAAACTATTACATGAATACTTTTCAAAAAGGAATATATTCAAAGAAACCAGAATCAGTTAGTGAATAGTTCTGAAACAGGAAAAAAATAAGGCTGTGTCTTCAGTACCAAAACATGTGGGTTTTTTTGATAGGATAAGTAACATGCATTAGCCATCTCGCTGTAAACCCCTAGTGGAGACACGACACTTGTAGGTTTTACTGCAAGGTAGCTTGGTGAGGTCAGCACCATATCCCAGACCTATGGCTGCCCTCTCCTAGTTTATCTCATGGTGAAACCACAGTGCTTTATCTACACCAGATCTTCACAGCAAAATGGCTAATGCCATGTTATCCTGTGCCACAAATACACATTTTGGGCAATGAAGACAAACCCTAACCACGGCAGATCATTTATTTACAACAATTAGCTCAACCAGTTCTAATTCTAAGAATTCCCTGTTATAGTTGAATTTTTAAAAATGAGACCACAAATGAAACAAATACCCAAATGCTGCTTACAATAAAGATGTATTGTGAATGGGTTGTTCAGTTACATTTTCCAATTATTTTATCTCTCTACGTAAATCTTTTGCCATCAGCGGAAGAGGAAAGTATCACTTCTGAAGATAAACAGGATTCAAGTAGTACCACTCTTCCCTGCTATCTTCAAATGAGGTGTCAATTTCCTTTTGGCAAACTCCTGTGGATAGATAAGAGACAGTTGCTGCAGGAACAAAGGGCTTTTATGACAAGGTGAGAAAGAGAAAGTTTCAGATTAATAGGAATTTCTATCTTTGCTTACTTTTAATTTCAGTTTTAAGTCATAAAACAGATTTTCAGTGATACATGAACTCTGTAAACTAATGTTCTGTGGCAGTCCGATTTCACCACTCTGACTTTCTAGCTTCAGAACCAGTTCCATCAGCCCGAACAACGATTTACAATCAAGTTATTTTGACCACAAAAGCTCAGGCCTTTTGCCTATAATCATGAAATAGGAAGAGTTGTTTCAAGAAATGGATTTAAAATTAAAGGCTTAACATAGTAAGACTTATCTTATTTATGCTTAGATGATGAGTAACCATTGTTTTTTTTCCTGTTAGGGCTGCTTCATTATCGGGGGTGGGGTAACTAGAAGCCTCTGGCGTGTTTTAACACATGTGGAAATAAAGTAAGTAAATAATTTAAACGTATAAAAATTGTAGAACATTTTCTCTCAACTGGTTTACTCCCTTATTATCTTCTACAAAATTTCTTCTTCTAATTTCCTCTTTCCCCTGTGAGGGTTAGGTGCCTAGGCACTTACTGAGATTTTCAGAAGTGCTTATCTCCATCTTTAGCTGCCTGCACTAGATTGAAACTGTTCGTTTGCATAGCTAATTAACAAATCTCTTTCTTTAAAGGTCCATTTTTAAACTGCACATGCCTCGCTGGCTTCAGGTCCCGTGGCTTCAGAAGTTTTTATGGGGAATGGTCATTTGAAAAGTCATCTGAAAAACCCTGAATTATATTTTTTTACCCCCATCCTGGAACACGCTGTGATGCTAGAGGTGAAGGGGCACAAACCTGCGGCATTACACAGTGAGCCTGGACAGTATTATTTCCATTTGCTCTTTCAGTGGAACACTGCCAGGTTAAACAGTTTTTATTTTTTAAATTTGGGAATGAGAGACGTGCAAAACTGCATTCATCCCTCTCCCCCAGGAGGCAGAGGAAGGGTCTGCCAAATGCTTGTTGGAGCCCACCAAGCTTTTCTCCACTTTAAGCCCACCCACCCTGGATGCTTCGTGTCAAGGTCAACATCTTTCCACCTGAAGAGGAGTGGACAGGATTCCCTCCAGAGCCTGTTAATGCTTCTCCCAGAATTGTCCTTTGGGGATGCAGCTGAGTGATCTGAAGCACTCTCTTCTCTGAGGGTTTAGCAAGCTGCCCCTGCTAGCACACTGCGCCTGAGACCAAGAAACAAACTCAGGCCTTCGCGTAGGACTCCAACGCACCACTTATGCAAATGGGCCAGCACACTTACTTCTCATGCATTTTCCTCTTACAGAGAGACATTGGCATTGGGGAAAACTTTCACTCTTCACAGATGTAGAAATGAAAATGTCAGGAGCACCCCCACATTTGGGAAACAACTTGGATCCAGGTTTCTAGCCTGGGCCTATTTCTACTATAAAGTATCTCGTATATCTCATAGCAACATAGAACTTGCTATTCTGGACCAGACCCATGGTCCTTGTGGTCAAGAATTCTGGCTCAGACAGAGGCAGAGCCAGTGGCTTCAGAAGAAGTGTGGCAGGGTGGACTAGGTCCAGAGGCCCCTTGCTGGAGGTCTTGTGGCCCTGCAACACCTGCCCCAGAATAGAGCAAGGGAAATCCTCCAGACAGCCTAGAGTGGCTGCAGAGCAACGGCCAATCAGAGGGGCTGATGGAACAGCCAATCCCGGGCCAGAAAGGCCCTATATAAGACAAGCAGCAGAGCAGAGAAGTTCAATTACTGTGTGGAGCTTGATGAGGGAGGAGTGGATGCCTGGCTGGCTAGACAAACAGCAGGACTGCGGATAGCTTACTGCAAAGAGCTCACCAGACAGAACTGAGCCCAGCGGACGCTGCCAAAGACCGGCTGGCTGGATAGAATAGCAGCAGAGCTATCGAAAGGTCAGTGTGGGCAGGCTGAGTCCGGGGGACTGAGCATAAAACCTGGCCAGACCAGACGAGGGTACCAAGATGGACACTGCTGGTCTGGTACCAGACTGAGCCCAGGGAGGGCTGCTGAAAAGGACACCTGTGGAGGGTACCAAGATGGGCCCCAGCTCAGTGTCTGAAGAAGGCAGTGCCTCTGGGAAGAAGCCTAAGAGCTATGGCCCCCATACCAGGGCCGTGATAAGAACTCGGGACTGTATACCCCGGAAGTGGGGACAGCATGGAAGACCAGCCGAGAGAACCACCGGCCAGGATGGAGGGCGCTCGCAAGAGGCGGATGTCACCTCGATATAAGAACTAAAACCAAAAGTAGGCTCACACCCACCCAAAGGGGGCTGCCTGTCAGAGGTGGGTGCCCCCCCCATGAAAAGAACTGTCGGCCAGAGAAAAGGGGGCACACACAAGAAGCGGGTGCAGACCCTGTTACAAGAAGATGCAAGAAGCTCCACTGTAGGCAGATGTTGGATAATCTGCTCCAATGAAGGTCTCATTGTAAGCTCCCTCTGAACCCATCTTCTCTTTATTCCTGCTATGAAGACATAGGATGACATCTTGGCCCCATTGGCATGAATGGGAGTTTTGCTGTTGATTTCAGCAAGATTTCACCCATAAGGCTGAAATTCTGAAATCAGGTGCATTTCATTAATTGCTGAAGTGGTGAGGAAAATCTCATTCAAACACTAATATGTGAAATAACAAAGGAGCGCAGTTAGGTTTTCTTTTCGTATAAATATTTCTCCCCTGTTTGCTCCCATGTAAATGATCCTTTTAAAGGACTCCTCAAAGTAAGCAGGTGCAATTTCCATTGAAGTCAACAGTTGTGTTGACTTATGCCAGGGTTAAAACTGTCCCTGAATGCTCGACTTATTATGTTACAACGTTATAATATACTATCATGTTTTAGCCTTTGAATTTATGAAGTGATGACATGATGTGCTTTACGAATTTACAAAATGTTTACCAGTCACACATTGCCAGTGCGTGATACAAAAGCAATGTTCCCCAAATGAAGCAAGCCAAATGGCCCTTGCACTGCATTTTCCATGCTGTTCTTCAAGCTAATGTCAAGGTGGGAAGCTCATCTTTGTTCTTCTAGAGATATTGTACTTTCAAAAGGCTAGACTGAGCCACTGTGCAACTCACTGAGTATGGGGCAGCGCAAAGTTGCACCATCCCAAGAGGAGCCCTGGGAAGGACTCTCTTGCTTCTGGAGGTGAGAGGAAGTAATTTGTGCCACCTCTTTCCAGGTGAACATTATTCCCCTCCCATGCCCTGCCAACATGACTAGCTTTTGGGGCCCAGGAGCAGAAGCTCATCCACTCCTGCCCCCCTTTCCATTCCTCTCCTGCATGATCCAAGTTTTCAGGTTTTGTTCTGGAGACTAGGACTGGGTTCTTCTTTCAAGCGACTACTCTATTTTGAAGCATAACTATCAAAAGGTGGCTTTGTCATGTAACACAACCACTTTGGAAAACTCTGAAACACAAAGAGGCATTCAGATACCATGGGGATGGGCAACCTTAGAAAAAACTTGATAGACGGGATCACCTAAATAGTTGAATTTTGTTTTGATTTTTTCCCCTCTGTAGTGTTGACAAGGGCAGAATGCAGAAGGGAAATAATTTTTGCCACTGTTGTTGGCACCACATTTTAGAAAAACCCTTGTTACTGTTCAGAAGGCAACCACAGGAGCTGCTATCCATCTATTGTTTTTAACTGCTGCACAGTGCTGATGATTCCTGTGGGTAGTTGTGTTTTACAGGATAAAAAACAAAAACTGCTCTCAGACAAAGCTGAAGTTTGGTCTTTCTCATGGAAGGAATTTTGCTTCCTCTGAATGTGAAGATTGGCCAAGGTTATTTTCTGAAGTGAGGGTCTGACAAATTTCCACCAGATCCTTGTACTCCAGAAAGGTTTATTGAAAGGACTGTGGGGATGCTCTGTGGCATTCTGATTATTTTTCATGGTGAAACTTCCTGTATAATGTTGTTACTGGAATTACTAAAATAATAATAAAAAATAATAAAAGGTTGCCTGCTATGTAACAAGTAATTGATAAAAAGAAAGAGGGAATGAGAAAGGCATAATAAACCTAGAAAGAAAATTGAGTTTAGAATGATCTCTCTTGACCTTTACCATCAAACAAGAGGACTGAAGTTCTTAATGTCCAAGTCTAGTTAAATGTAATCCATACAATGTCTACTGTATTCTCTTGAGGGAATGCAGTGCCTGACTAGCACACTGTGTTCTCACGTTAAAATGTTCCGTCAGCATTGCTGTGGGCTGTGGGGGATATTAGCTCTGCCAGTCTCATTGCCTCTCTAGCCTAAAGAAGAGGCCAAAGATCACCATTTTCATTAATTCAGGCAGGAAGAGCGGAAAGTAAGAGTAAACCAAGTATTTGTTTTCACTGACTGTCCAAGCTACACTCAATAGTTTTCTCTTTCCTTTTTCACTGCTAGAAACAAAAGGAAAGTAGGATTTTAGTGACTGGGTAAAATGACCTGTTACTTAAATTGAAAGGAATCATTTTACCACATTCAAGTGTCTGCTGTTTTTTTGTTTGTTTGTTTGTTTTTTTTGGTGTTGTCACTAGAATTATATGACACAAAGAAAATTTATCTGCCTGATTTGTAATTTATAAGCACATGCTCCTTATTGGTCATAGTTCATTATTCTCAGGAAGTTTGATTATTTCCTTATTCTAGTAGACTATAGAGGGCAGCTGAACGCAGAAGACTATTCAAGGTTGATGGCCTGAATTTCAAAGCTCTGGCTGCCTGAGAGATCTCTTTCTCTCTGTGACCACAACCTCCTATAACATGGAACAATTAAACTGTTGGTCAATATGGGAAGATGTGTGGTCATGGGGGACAAAACCCTCAGGGAAGCCAGATCCAGACTCTGAAGTTCACTGAAAGACAAAATCGAATTGTTATTAACTTCACTACATTCCCACATAGATTCACCACTTAGCCCTAGCTTTCCCCCAGCTCA